GCTTAGGGAAAGTAGGTGAACAGGCAGTGACGGGAAGGGTCAAGAACACAAGAAAGGGCTTCTGGGGCCATCAGCTGAGTCCCTGCTCAAGTGTCCAATATCGCCAGCACCTGAGAAAGAGAGCCTGCTCTTGCTAGCTGTCTCAGCTGACCCTTTAATTCATTTCACACTGTCTGTGGTAGCCAGGGAGCTGTAGCTATTTTTGGTTCATGAATGAGCATGTCCGCTCATGAACTTGTGGACCTCCCCATGTTTCTGCACTACAACTCCCATCATCTCTGACTGCTGGCCATACTGGAGGGGGCTGATAGGAGTTGGAGTCCAACAACATCTTCAGAACCAGCAAGTTCCTTGTGCCTGGTCAATGTGACGCACATATTTGTAAGCATATGCTCATTGTGTTCACTCTTTAGGTTCAACGTTGTTAGGAGGCCACTATTCCCCTTGCAGAAGTACAATTCTCAGAGTGGTTTAACAAGCAGACTTTATTTACAGGGAATTCTGGGAACTGTAGCTTCGTGTGGAGAATAAGGGTCTCCTAACAACCCTCAACACTACAGTTCCCTGGATGCTTTGGGGGAAGCCATGACTGTTTAAACTAGTATGATAGTCTTTAAATGTATAGTGCAGATGGGAACTTAGTGCCTTGTAATGTACACCTAAAACAGGAATGTGTTAAGTGGTCCTTAGATTAAACTTCTGGGGCAAACATCCTTCAAACTGGAACATGAGTGCTGACTATAAGGAGATGTATGTTGGATTTTTTTAATTAAAAAAATAGAATAAAGATGTGCTGAGAAAAAAAATGGAGGAGCATCTTAACCTTGGCATCTGTGATCAAGAACACTATAATCACATCATAATTATGTATAATACCTGAGAATTTTCTATTCATCCTACTTAGAAGTAATGCAATATGAGTCACTAAAATTATGAAACTAAATTGCTGTTTTAATTCTAGGATATTATTACTTCAACTTGCAGAGCCCAGAGAGATATGACTAGGAGTTACATCTTAAAATATATGTTTCTATTTACACAGGTTGCTGAAAGATAAAGAAAGGAGATGTGAAATAATGGAGTAGCTCATTGTTCTGAAGCCGGTCTTTGCGGTGCTTGGATGCTGAGGACCAGAAGGTTAGGTCAGCCATTGGTTCTTCTTTCTCCCCCATCTGCTCTCCTTTCGCTGGTCCCTTGCCAGCTTCTGCCTGCAAGAAGACTGTGGTGGAGGTCGGAATCCAGCGATCTGAGTGGGTGATATCTATCAATCTCGCGCCATGAACAAGCACTGTTGCTAGGCAACTGGAAGCAGCATTCCGCCCACATCCTGCAATTTCCTCCTGGTGATTTACTCTTTCACTCTTAATATATTAATTACACCAAACTTTCTTTTTGTACACTTTGGGCGCCAACTTCAACAGATGACAGTCTTTCTGCAGCTAAGGGCCCTTTCCTGATGGGATGGCAATCAGCGATTAGCGGCTTTGCCGTCAAGGTTGCAAGATGTGAGTGGCTCCAAAAGGCTTCAGAACGTTCCAGCGAAAGGATTGCAGCTGAGGTTGTTATTAAAAGGGGAGACGAGAGGGAAGAACTCCTCTGGGCAGGGATGGTCCTCTCACAACATCAGGCTGTCCTTGGAAATTACTTGGAAACTTCAACTGGTCCAAAATGCAGCAGCCAGATGATTGGCCAGTGTTGCCTTTAGAGTTTATATAACCCATTTTAAAATGATTGCGCTGGTAATCAATTACGGCCCAATACAAGGTGCTCAAATTAGTATGTAAATGAGTTAGGCCCCAAATATCTGAAATGCCTTCTTGGTAGTTCTGTAACCCTCAGAAGTGTGGAGAATGACAGCCAGGGAGAGGACTTCCTACTGGTAACCCCTAAATTGTGGAACTGTCTCCCCACCTAGCATCTTCATTGTATATCTTTTGTTGTATGGTGAAGACACACCTCTTTACCCTGACCTTTGAAAGTAATGTATTCTGTGTGTGTGTGTGTGTGTGTGTGTGTGTGCATGCAACCCATGTCTTTTGCTGAATTTTTTACCATTCTTCTCTAGTTGGAATGGTTTGCTTTCATAGCTTTAACTGTCCTCTTTTTATTATATTGTTCTAGCTGACCTGGGACCTTAGGATGAAGTGCGGCTAAAAATGTCTTATAAATAAATAAACTTAATAAATGGATAACTGGACCTCAGCTATACAGTTCACTGGGACCCTGTCAAAAGCCAAACACACAGTGAATAATTTTGATGTCTCCAGTTCCATACAGACATATAGCAAAGTATCCAGTGTCCTCTGGAATTTTAGTTAGGATCAAGGATGAAGAAGATCATAGATATTACTTGTCTATCATAGATACTACTTTTGTATGGCCCACTTTTGCGATAAGTGATGCATACTTAATCCTGGCTGGCTCTCTCTCAAAAAAAACTATACCATAGATCATGGTGCTTCAAACAGGGAACTGTGTCAGCTTTTTAAAATATTTACACAATATTTATTCTACCTGCCGTAAGGATTTGAAAGACCTATATAGTCATCTGTAAAGCTACAGATTGATGGGCAACTGTTCTGATTCTTGAGCACAGGTCTCAAAGAGATATTTGTCTTGAGATGACAACACAAAATTGCCATCAGTTGAACTTTGCCTAAGGAGGTAATCCTATGGGAAGATTAACCAAGATGAGCGTCAGTGGTTCTCCAGATCAGCAGGCATTCAAGACCTAACCAGGGCTCAGACTAAAATATCCCAGTGTTACTTGCTCACTCTGGTTCAGGTGGGGCTCAGTCAGCTGAGCTGAGGCCAGTTTAAGTCCCCAAAAAGGGGCATTATGGGGGTGGGGCAGGGATGGGACCAGAGAGGGGAGACTTGGCCAAGTTCTTAAGCCCCTTCACTTTAGACACGTGACCTGGCAACCCATCATAGAACCATAGCTGTCAACGTTTCCCTTTTTTAAAGGGAAATTCCCTTATTCCGAATAGGATTCCTCGCAAGAAAAGGGAGAAGTTGACAGCTATGCATAAAACACAGTTTTAAAAGCTTGTTTTTCTTTCCAGAATACACGGAGCAGCATCAGCCCTGCTGTTGAACAGGGTTTGGAGCTGGTATAACTTTGTTGTTGTTTAGTCGTTAAGTCGTGTCCGACTCTTCGTGTCCCCATGGACCAGAGCACACCAGGCACTTCTGTCTTCCACTGCCTCCTGCAGCTTGGTCAAATTCATGCTGGTAGCTTTGAGAACACTGTCCAACCATCTCGTCCTCTGTCATCCCCTTCTCCTTGTGCCCTCCATCTTTCCCAACATCAGGGTCTTTTCCAGGGAGTCTTCTCTTCTCATGAGGTGGCCAAAGTATTGGAGCCTCAGCTTCAGGATCTGTCCTTCTAGTGAGCACTCAGGGCTGATTTCCTTAAGAATGGATAGGTTTGATCTTCTTGCAGTCCATGGGACTCTCAAGAGTCTCCTCCAGCACCATAATTCAAAAGCATCAAATAACTTTATACCAGCTTAATTTACACTGGATTCCTTTACTCTAGATACTTGTGCATAGAATTTCTCCCTTGTTTGTGGTTTAATAGCCTTCCTATTCTCTTTTATTAAAACCTGTGCAGCATGAGGCCCTTGGTTCAAATGCAGCCTCTGCCATGAACTGCAGAGGCCAGCAATAGGCAGCTCACACATTTAAAGCTTCTGTCATCAAGTAGGTTGGGATACTGAGAATAACGTGTGCCAATCTTATAAAGGTCTTGGGAGGATTTCTACGAGATAACATGTGTGAAGGACTTTGCATGCTCGGAAACACTGTACAACTGCAGTATGTCATGATGGTCTGCTCCTGACTCTTACATTTCTAACGGTTTTGCCCAACTTGGTGCCCTCCTGATCTTGTTGTTTTCAACTCCCAGCAGGTTTAGCTGGGCTGGCAATGGTCAGCAATGGTGGAAGTTCAATAAATTCAACCCACATTTAGACCAGCTTAACTTCCTCCCCCTAAAAAAGCCATGGAATGGGATTTATCTATAGTGTCCTTAAAAATCACATACACGGACAAATATATATACAGTGGTACCTTGTTTTACGAACTTAATCCGTTCCAGAAGTCTGTTCTTAAACCAAAGCGTTCTTAAACCAAGGCCTACACATTCATTCATTCATTCATTGCTTTCCCCAGGTTAGTGAATCACCTTAGCCACAAGGGAATTAACATGTTTCTCGAGTGCCAGGTGGTAATTCTATCTATCTATCTATCTATCTATCTATCTATCTATATCATCTATCTATCTATATATCTATCTATCATCTATCTATCTATCTATCTATCTATCTATCTATCTATCTACCGTATTTTTCGCTCTATAACACGCACCAGACCATAACACGCACGTAGTTTTTAGAGGAGGAAAACAAGGGAAAAAATATTCTAAACGAAACAGTGGATGTATGATTTTTGTGGTTCATGCTGTGGCCACAGACATGTGATCTGACAGTGAGTTTGGAGTAGCCCAATGCAAAAATCCTGAGGATCCATGTGGATCCATGCTTTGTAACCACGTTTTTGCACCACTGCGGCCCCAGGCAACAGTGGGTGCGTGATTTTTTTGGTGCAACATGTAGCCATGGACATGCTATGTGATCTGATGGTGAATTTGGGGTGACCCAGTGCAAAAATCCTGAGGATCCATGTGGATCCGTGCTTTGTAACCACGTTTTAAGTGGGGAGGGAAGGAAAAGCACTCAAGGGACAAGGAGCACGCATGGGGTGTGTGGAGAAGGATGCTGCTAATAATGCAGGAGAGGGGTTTAAGGGGAGAAGAAGCACGTGTGGGGTGGGTGGAGAAGGATGCTGCTAATAATGAAGAAGAGGGATATAAGGGGAGAAGGCTCATCTCCTCTCCCACTTTGCTCCTTTAAAGCAAGCAGGCTCTGCTTTTCTCCCTCCTCCCCGCTCATCCCCGGCTTAGCGAGCTGAAAAACTTTGCTGCTATTTAGCGAGCTGAGTGGGGAGGAGAGAGGGACAGAGAGCCTGCTTGCTTTAAAGGAGCCAACCGGACAGGGGCCGCTTACACTCGTGTAAAGCAAGCAGGCTCTCTGTCCCTCTCTCCTCCCCACTCAGAGGCTCTTCTCCCGCTTTGCTGTTTCAAAGCGAGCCACGGAGGAGGGAAGGAAGGGGAACCATGGATCCTCTGCTCACGACTGCAGCAGATCCCCCCCGCCACCCGTAGGCATTCCCTCCATAACACGCACAGACATTTCCCCTTACTTTCTAGGAGGAAAAAAGTGAGTGTTATGGTGCAAAAAATACAGTATCTATCTATCTATCACAAGCTCACAACTTCTGCCTGGGAGGCAAATAGTTCATATAGGAGGCATGGAAAAACACTGGCTAGCTCCCACTGTTGTGCTTGCTTATGTTCTCTTTAATAAGATTAAGTACATTTTCAGTCTGCTGTTTTAGTAGGGTGTTGTCGGCTGAAAGTAGGTTGTGTAGGTTGAAACTCTACCATTAAATGCCTCGATTTTGCTCCTCATAGTCAAATACTCCCAGGAGTCAAACTTTCAAGTGACCTTATTAGCACAGTCTGTTATTATGGTTGTCCTTTCCTACTATCTGGACTCTGTGTTCTGAACCCTTTGCCCATAGGCCACTTTCATGAGTTAACTGCACCCCACACCCACACGTTACACATGGCTGAACAGATCTACATTTGAAGATATAAATCTGCTGCTTACACCGGCCTTCAGAACAAACGTATACAGTTAGATCCCACCATTACGCTGTAGGAATAGAAAGAGCTTCCATTCAGAGAAGGAGAGGGCACTCAGAATTATGTCTGGGTGCAAAATAGGACAGGTCTCCTTCATATTTAATAGAAATTGTCACATGAAAGTACAGAAGCCCTGTCTTCTTTTGCATTTGATCTCCCAAACAACTCTCCTTTATATATGTACTTTATATATGTACAGAACCTAAGGAAAGCCTTTCTGGATCTGCCAAAAGGTTCATGTTGTCCATGTGCTCACTATACTGTGAGCATCCTATACCCATAGTGGCCAATTGGATGTCCATGGGAAGTCCAGAAGGTATTCTATTAGAGCTGCCTCTGCTTTTTGAGTGCTAACTTTCTTCAGAAAAGTTTGATGAACTTATTATTATTTTTTTAAAGAAGTTAAGAGACTGGGGGCCCTGCTGGCTCAAGACCCAGTATATGTGAACTCCGAGGGCCCCCTCTGTTGGCAGACCTGTCAATCGTTAAATCTTTGCTTTGTCCATTCTGTAAAGGAAGACCAACGTTTCTGCTTCCCCTCCCTTAACTGTACCAATTCTGTCACAGAGCAAAGAATCAGGATCCAAGCCCTAGCCTTTCTTAGCCAACACATGCAATGTTGACAGGACCTTCAGTTCCAGTTGCTGGTTTGCCAAATGGCAAGTCAAAAACTAATGAAACTTAGTACAGTGGTGCCCCGCAAGACGAATGCCTCGCAAGACGGAAAACTCGCTAGACGAAAGAGTTTTCCGTTTTGGAGGTGCTTCGCAAAACGAATCTCCTATGGGCTTGCTTCGCAAGACGAAAATGTCTTGCGAGTTCCTGCGGGTTTTTTTCCCTTTTCCCCCCTTTTTCTAAGCAGCTAAGGCGCTTATCTGCTTATCCGATAAGCTGATAAGCCGCTAAAAGCCGCTAAAAGCCGCTAATAGCGCTAATAGCGCTAATCCGCTAATCCGTCAATGGGCTTGCTTCGCAAGATGAAAAAACCGCTAGACGAAGAGACTCACAGAACGGATTCTTTTCGTCTTGCGAGGCACCACTGTATACATTAATAAAGCAGATCTAAAGTTCGTTGTTTTTTTTAACAACACGAGGGAAAAGAGAAATGCTGTGCCATATATTTGATTTGGTTTCTACTGGTGTTTGTTTCTTCTTACATGCAATGTCTGAACAGCATGATATTATACTGAAAACAGTAAAATGTTGAATTAGGGTATTTCAATGGGTCTACTCTGAGTATAACTGATGTTGGATATCACCCATATTTTTCTTTTTTAAAAAAAATCCCATCAGCTTTGTGTAAATATATATAAACGAGGTCTAATCTATTTTTTTTAAAATGCCTATGTGGGTGAGTATTTATTTATTTATTACTTCTTTGTGCCAGGATGTTCTATATCCCATACACAGGAATTGATCTCTATGGAAATATGGCAATTCTAGATTAAGGGGATTTACATCCTGGCTCTATAGCTGGAAGACATACCTTTTATTCATGCCTCTGAATTCCATTGGCCCTGCAGAGCTACCCAGATTGACAGGCCCACATAAAAATAGGGATGGATTTTTTTATTAGATTGTTCCCTGCTGCATGTTTTATGCAGGTTATGAGTCTTAGTCAGACCTGGGAAATCATGATACACACCCCAACTCCTGCCAGCAACCTAGTAAGAGGATGATATCGAGATCCTCCTGATTCATTGTAGAAAATATGTTTGCTTAATTGTGTCCGGGAGGCGAAGGGGAAGCAGGGGGAAATTGTAGAATATTCGTGTACTCTCTGGGTTGCCAACTTCTTTCCTGTTCCCTGCTCCTGCGCCTGTCACCTGCAACAGCACCTAAACAGGTAGAAATGAAGCCAGTGAAGCATCCTGGAGATAAAATGCCCTGGGGGGGGGGGGAGGAGAAATTGGTGACTTCATTTCTTTCTGTCAGGCTGATGTGGCAGGTGGCAGATATGGGAGCAGAGGCCAGTAAAGAAGTTGGCAATCCAAACGTCACATGAAGGTTCTACCAACTTCCCTTGCTTTAAAATAAGGGAGGAAGCATTAGGAGGAGATGGAAAACACATTTTCCAATGAACAAGGAGGACCTCCACAGTTCTGTGAGAGAGTGCTTGCCTTGATCTGCAGAAGGTCCCAGTTTTAATTCCTGGCATCCCCAGTTAGGGCTGGGAAAGAGTTTTGTCTGCAATGCTAGAGCCACTGGTAGTCAGAGGCATTTCTCACAGGCAGGGAAGCAGCTGTCATGTATTGCACATGTATTGCACAAGTTAGCAAAAATGTGTTTGATGCAAACTGCTGTGAATGTGGAAGCAACATGCAGTAGATTCGCAGCAGTGATCCTGCCTTGGTGACCCCACCACCACCACCACAACAAATGCTGATCCTCCTTAACACTCATGAAAACCACTAGGGATTATGTTATGAACCTCCAGGCAATTGAAGAGCGTTTGTTACTTTTCTATTCTTTTCTTTTCTTTGCCATTGCAGCCGCCACCAAATTTTTGGGGGTTCCACCAAAAATGGCTGGGATGGGGGTGCAGATACAGTATATAATGAGAACTAAAAATATATATTTTTAAAGTGGGGAAAATAGGAAATCTTGAATTCTCCTAAGTATAAATATGCTATGCACGGAGAATTGGAATAAACATATTCCTAAATGCATCTTAGTTTTACATGGGGCATCACTCCACATTTTGCTGAGCAAGTAAATGCTTGATTACTTATGTTTATTACTTGATTACCTGCGCAATCATTGCCTTGATTGGGACCTTCATATTAATTCCTAATTGTATGTTTATTGTATACTGTGTTCTCCCAGGAGGAGCAATCTCAAAAATATAGGTGAGCCTTGTCTGTAAAAGCGTTAGTGCTTAGAAATCCAGGAAATGATACGTAAGTGAGATCACATGTGTGCATGAGGTCCTTCAGCCAAAATCATTTCCCCATTCATTTCCATGGATAGAACAGATACACAGAGAGGCAGATTAGCTCCCTCTGTTGAAATGAGTGAGCATCCCTGTACGTCTATGCACACATCTGGGTGAGTATAGATTTTTCTGCTGGGATAACAGAGAAGAATGGCTGTAGCTCATTGGTGGAGCCCACGTTTTGCATACAAGTCCTCAGTTTCCATCCCTGGTTTCCTCAAGTAGTGTTGGAAGCTACTCAACCTGCAATCAGTTGAGCTAGATGGACCTGGTGCAAGGCAATTTCCTATGCTCCTATTCCAAAGCTTCACTCCACAGTATATAGAATAAAAGCATCTTCTTGAAATAAAGAAGCTGGAGCTATTGCATTGGTTGGTTAAGACTATAAAATTTATAAAGTATTTTAACTTCCAGTTTTCTATTAAATTCTTATTGCGTTTGACAAGAGGCTGTAAACAAAATTCGGCTTGTCTCCTTAAATTGCGTGCCAAGAATGAGTGTGGGCTATGTTCTCGTTGCAGTTAGATATAAATCAGGTAGAAGTGGAGGCAAATTTACATAAAACCAGTAAAATTAAGGGGAGAATTGGGCCAGTGCTTTTCCTGTCTTCGGGTCAGACAAAAATAATTCTTTATAACTCTCTCTGAAATTTCATTCAACATTCTAATAAAGCAGCTTGATGTACAATCAGTGCTCAAAATGGGAGGGATGCGACCCATTAAACTTACTGAAACTTACTTTTGCAATGTGCAGACACAACTACCAAACAGAGGAAAGGTTACCTCTGTATATAGAGGTACCTCTATGCCCTCCATGACAGGGGCACAGGAGTCCAATGACCATCCAGAAGATGTGGTTGTCCCCATGTTGCCCACATCCCATGTGCTTCTCCACTTGAGCTGTTCCACCAAATCAGGCAGCGAAGGAACTGGAAAGGTTGAGGAAGAAGGCAGGATCATAAGTCGTGTTTGGGAAGCTTTCCTTAGCTCGTTCACCTCCAATCAGGGCTACCCCAACATGAGAGAAGTGACTGCCTTGGGTGGTAGATGATAGGAGACAGCAGCAATGCCATCTGTGCCAGCAATGCCATCTGTGCCAGCCTTTTCCTTTGCTGGCCTGCCACCTCATTTGTTGTAGAAGAGTCCTTTTCCATCACCAGTGTTGAATTAAGATTAAGCCAGCTTAGGGAAGGGGCATCGTCTTTTCCTTCACCTCAGGCAACAAAACACCTTAGGCTGGCCCTGCTTCCGGTATTACTATTTGCCAATGCTCTTTTTCTGCATTGGCACCCAGTACGTTTCCGAGCACAATTCAAATTGTTGGTGCTGACCTTTAAAGCCCTAAATGGCCTTGGTCCAGTATACCTGAAGGAGCATCTCCACCCCCACCGTTCAGAATGGACACTGAGATCC